CTGGGGGCTGGGACAGCTTCTGAATGACCTTTGTGGGCCGCGTAGCCCACCCTGTCCCAGAGGCCCAAGCACAAGGCAGGCGACAGAGGCAGAAGTACCTTCCCTGAGCAGTGCTGGAGCCCAGGCTCCGCCCAACACAGCCTGTTACTGCGCGCTCCGGCCTGTGTGGTATCAGCTCTCGCAGACCCCCAGCTCCTCCTGGGGCTGTTGGGGGGCAGCCCGCGACCCAGCCTGGAAAAGCCCTGCTTTGCACATTGCCACTGGCGCAGGTTCGTAACATGCAGAAAATCCCCCTTTCCCTTCACCTCCAAAGAGTTTAATCTCTTCTAATCAATTTAGCAGACTCGCTTGGTTGTAAACGGTAATGATTTGCATTTTTGAGCCTTTTTATCCCTCCTTAAGAAAAAAGATGCCTCCTCTGTCTGCCTTCTGGAAGGCCTGTGCAGGGCTGTGAATTGCTCCTTAGCACTCACCCTGGCGCCCAGCCAGCTCGAGGCCTCCGCCCGTCACCTGCACTGATCCGAGCACAGGGAAGGGACAGGGCACGCAGCGTGCCCACAGCTGCCCCTGGCTTTGTTCCTGACCTTGAGAGCAGGTCCAGTTCCTGGGGACACGGGCCACTGTGCACCCCAGAGCCCTTCCTTCCAGCACACACCCTAGCTCTCTCCTGGTTGTCTCCCCAGCTCCGTTGCTCCCTGTCTGCTGCATCCAATTTTCCTTGTTGTATTTTTCATAAGCGTGAGGCTCAGAAGCCCCGTCCTCCTCCCTGGTGTGTTCGACAAGAAGCAGATTTCTGGAGTGGAGTGGGTTTGCTTTGGGACTTGGGCTGCCATTGGTGGGGTAGGGGCAGGGGCTGTCCTTTCCTCCTGCCTCGGCTCCAAGCAGGTGAAGGAGGGAGGCTCAGGGGCGTCCTGGGCATGTTGCCCGCCACTTCTCCAGGCCTATCAGCCACCCCAGGCCCTGCAAGGAGCCTCACCTGACCTGTCCGTCTCACTCTGGGCCTCGGTCACCTGCCATGGATCAACTAGAAACTTCCAGAATCGGTGCAAGGGAGGAGCCCTTACTTGGCTTTTAGAGCCCCCAGCTTTTTGGGGTGAAGCCCGACTCCTGCTTCAGCCCACCCTCCACTTTGCAGAAGGGGAAACTGAGGCTGTGGATTTACAAAACATGCTTTCCCTCTACCTCTCTGGAGACCCTTCCTGGCCCCTCCTCACTTTCTGCTCCTGGTGGGCCTCCCTGGACCCCTAGAGGAAGGAGGAAGAGGGAGAGTGAAGAGGCACAAGGCAGGCAGAGGCCTTGGGCTCTGGGTGGGAAACCCAGCCCCCCCTGCCACCACCCAGCCACTGCCGTCTTCCTAGCTGCTGTCCCCTCTCCTGCCAGGGTCACTCAGAGCTGGAAGGGACCACTGCCCCACCTCCTGCCCCCAAACCTGGCCTTCCGGCCCTGGATGGAGAGGCCCTCTAGTCAGCCACGCTGCCGCCATGTTCCTGTGGAGGCGGCCCAGGAAGCCGGAGCCAATTTAGAGAAGATGGAGGCTTCCTCGGGGAGGCCGCAGGAAGGGGAAGGAGAAAAGGGAAGAAAAGAAGCTTTTGATGCACATCATGTCTGCGGAATTGAGTATGACTAATTAATAGATTTTATTCTTAGTAATCTCTTAAGCATTCCATACGTTGGGCCCCACGCCTGAGCTGAGGCCTCATTCGCAAAATGCAAATGACTCGCCTGGCCTGGCAGCCTCCTCTCCTGCCTCCCCTTTTCTCCCCGCACAACCCCCCCCACTTTTTTTTTTTTTTAGGGGAAATTTAAAGGAAAATTGCCATGTAATAGAAAAGAGATTCTAATCACTACATCTAATTACCACGAAGGGTAAACCACTTAACCAAAGAAGTGTCATGGGCTCTTTTTTTTTTTTTTTTTAACTTAACACCTGCTATAAATGCCACAGAAAACACTCATCGACGCTGAGGCCAACCAGGTTGTTCTGGCTAGTTAGAGGCTGCAAGGGTCAGGTCGGGTGCCCGCGGAAGGGGCATTCAAGACAGCAGCAGTAGGTAGCCTGGGTCCTGGGCTTGTCTCCACGAGCCCAGTGTCCTCACATGCTGCCCGGGGCTGGGGAGGCTGGGCAGCCCTGCGGCATCTCTCTCCTTATGAGGACACTCAGAGCAGTTGGACCAGGAGGGGACCGGGGTTCAGCGTGGACCTGACTTCAGGCCCGCTCCTTGGCTTGGGGGGCTGTGAGGCAGCAGACATTCAGGCGCTCGCTCTCAGAAAGGACTCCGCGAGGATGTCTGATGCTGAGTGGAGGAAAATTGAGAGCAGACCCCAGGGCCTGGATGGGGAGTCTTCATCATCCTCAGCACCTACAGGGCAGGAGGACGCCTGCATCGAGCCCTCGGTGAGCCCGTCTGAGCCCCCGGGGAGCGGGGGACCCCAGTGACCTCGCCACAGGTGGGCCTGGCCTGCTCTGTATTGTAGGGAAGGAAGCTGACCACCCAGGCCTGCAGGCCTTTCTGACCTCACTGGCTGACTCCAGGCTCACCTACTGTCCCCCAAATGCCTTCCTAACCTCTAAGGGGATAATTTGACCTCCTCCTGGTGTGTTCAAGGGGAAAGGGGAGTAAGATGGGAACCCAGGCATGTTGGCAGCAGGGACTCGGCCATGAGGAGGCCAGGGCCTAGGACATCAGTAGAAGGCATGGGTGGTGCCGTGAGGGAGGGGACCTCACTTCCGAAACAGCAGGGACCTCGGGCTTCTGTCCCTTCCCCCTCTTCCTGAGCCAATGCCCCACGTCCTCGAATACCCTCTCTACTCCTCCCCGAGCTGCCAGAACTGGCCTGTGTCAGGGGTGCTTGACGCCAAAGGGAGGGCGACTTTCACACAGACATGAAATTAAGGCTTGGAAAAATCTCTCTCCTGATCTCATTGTATGATAAAATGATTCAAGTGGACCAAAGGGGAGGGGAAAGGGGAGGGGAAAGACTTAGTTTCGAGCGGAGTGTGTCCAGGCCCTGCACCTCTCCCTGGGGCTGGGGAGCCGGCCTCCCTGTCGCGGGGTGAGACCCTCCCTCCGGCCTGGCGGGGGAGGGCCACGCCTCCCTTCCACCCTGCTCACACAGCTTCCGTGGCCATTCCTTTCAACCCCTGCCTCTTCCCTGAAGGGACCAGTCACATCTTTCCATGACCAGTGAGTGGCCGGCCCTCGGGCCTGTCTGGACAGCATCCTCTTTCTGCCAGAGCTAGACACCTCCTTGACCTCCCCTGCCCTCGGGCCAGTGTCTCCCATCTGACGTGGCTCTTCCCTGGCACAGCACCGGGGCGCACATTGACAGGTGGTGGCCCGAGCTCCCCAAGGGCCAGGGCGCAGGAGACCACAGAACCCTGGGCACCATGCCTCCCTTCTCTCCAACTTTGCTGTCATCCTTTCATTATCATTTCAGTCTCATGGCTCACCAAACCACACCGCCCACTGATAAATGATGACAACCCAGTTCTGGGGTGGGGGGCTAGGAAATAAAACCTGAATTCTTCCGAGGGCCCTGGTCAGTACCCTTTTGGAGCTGGTATTTCTGGAGGTCTGGTCTCTCCTCTCCAGAGCAGAGTGCTGGGGGTGGGTACGTCCGAGGCTCTGTGTTCGGGGGGCTGCTATCTCCCGGTGCTCTTCGGAGAACGTTCATGTCTTTTTCTGGGCTTTGTTTGAGCAGCCATGGAAACCATTAGGTCTAATCAGCTGGATTAAAAAAAAAAAAAAAAAGTCCCTGCGCCAATTACCTGTCCCAGGAGGAAGCATATGGCACAGACAAAAGAGAAAGTCGCTGTCGAGGTGACTGCGTCTGTGTGTTGGGGGTGGGTGGACAGTAGGGAGAGAGACGAGGACACCGGCCGTCAAAGAACGCTTTTGTCTGTACCAGAAAAGAGCGCGGCCCAGGTCTCGCCGACCTGAGATAGGGTTGAACCACGGGCACCCCTTGCCCGGGGTCTCCCTGGCCACCCAACCAGGACAGATACACCTCCGCCTTTAGGAACAGCATTGTCCCCCCACCCCACTCCCACCCCCAACACGCTTTGTCTACTTACTCAATGATTTCTAGGAGAGAGCAACATTTTCGTGACTCTATTGTCTCAGGAAACTGTACGAACTGACCCAAGAAGTAGTAAGGACCGTAAATGGGGCTCTATCTACCCATCTGTACTGAGAGACACGACAGAGAGATCAACAGGTAGATCGACGCACGTCCGCGTGGCTGGGAAGCCACAGCTCCCCCGGGGGCCATCCACGGAGCGTGGTGCACGGAACTGAAGAGGGCTTCGGTATAGGAAAAAGAAAGTTTGCTTTTTAATTGACTACACCATTGTTCAGAGAATGCAGTGAAAGACGTGATCTTTCTGCAAATCTGTAAGGGAAGTGGTACGGAAGGAACCAGGGAAGAGGTTTCAGGACAATATCTCCGTAGCAAAAAGATCTTTTCTTCCCCCTCTCCTTTGTGAGGAGCCTGAAAACCTTCCGTCATGTCGTTGTCACCCGTGAGCAGCCGGCAGCGAGAGCTGTGTGGGGGATTTGCGTGTTGGCTGTTCCCTCTGACGGTTCTTTTGTGACGGCCTTGAACAGAGCATGAGGCGTACACAGACGCTGTACAGGTAGTAGCTTTCCAGTTCAGGAAAAAACAAAAAAACGAAAAACCCTGACCCAACCCTTCCTGCAATATTATTTTTAGTCCTTCCCTCCCCAACTGGCATAATTTGGTATAAATTATGTCTTCAGCAACATCAAATCCCCCTCCTGCCTTCTATTCTTTAAAAAAAAAAAGAGAGAGAGATCTTGTTTTTGCTGTCGTGTTCTACAAAAGTGTCCACCCTTCCCAAACTTTGCTTTCTGCTAGGAAAGTCATCATGGAATTCCTTCTCCTTGCTCTATGGGATGGCAGCGGGCCGGGCGGAGCCGCGCCGTGGCCAGGCCAGGAGGCGGCGGGAGCTGGGGCGGAGGTGGCCGGCGCGGCTGGCATCATGTGTACGTGTACTCTACGTCGGGGATGCCACCGTCCCGGTAGCCCCGGGTGGTGCCGTAACCGATGGTGTGTGTGGCTTTGCAGAGGCTGCTGCCGTTGGAGGGGAAGATGGTGTGGACCACGTACTCCTCTTTGGCGCGGTAAGGGTTAATGGGCAACATCTGCAGCCCAGGGCCGCGGATTTCCAGGATGGAGTTATCCTTCTTGGTCCCGGACTCCATATAGTCGTCCTTTTTCCGGCTGCCCCGATTGTAGGCCCGGTCCCGGGTCAGCAGCTCCCCAGCCCGGTGCACGTACCAGCAGATGGCCCCCAGGACCAGGAAGAGGAAGACGAGGGCCACGGCCCCGCCAATGATGCCCGCCAGGGGCAGGCCCGCCATGGGGTCAGCGTTCTGCTCCTGGTTGAGCGTGGTGGTGGGGCCGTAGCTGTCTGCCGTCTCGGCCTTGGCGCACACCGGCGTCTCATCGGCCACATAGGCGTTGCCGGTCTCCATGGTGACCAGGCAGATGACATAGGTGGACTTGGGCTCCAGCGCCGTCAGCAGATACTCTGTCTTGTCCCCCTGCACCAGGGTCTCCGTGATGGAGCCCACGGCGGGACTGTGGCCCAGGCGTAGCCAGCTGAGCCGGAAGGAGGAGGCCGGGAGCGTGGCCTTCCACGTGATGCGGATGGAGTCTGCCGTCAGGGGCTTCACGTGGATGACCAGGGTCTTGGCGCCCTCGCCCGTGGCCACGGGGTAGTCAAGGTTGGAGTCAGGGAGGCGCAGCCCTGGCCTCTTGGCCTTGAGGGTGAAGAGGGAGCCCTGGGGTGTGGTGGCCAAGGCGCGGTCACTGGCCGTGGTCTTGGCAGCCGCGTTGGCTGCGCCTCCCTGGGGCCCCGTCTCGAAGCACTCGTCCATCTCGCTGGTGATGTCCTTGATGGCCATGCCCCGGACCTTCTCGGGGCCCTGGCACATGAGGCCCCGCACGTTGACCACGGCCGCCCGCGCCTTCACCCAGTCCCGCAGCCACAGGAGGTTACAGCCGCAGAACCAGGGATTGTTCCGCAGCAGCAGCTGGGCCAGGCTCTCCAGGTCGTCGAAGAGGCCGCGGGGCAGCGTGGTAAGGTTGTTGTTAGACAGGTCCAGGCGCTCGAGTTGGTGCATCTTGGCCAGCGCGTTGGAGGGGATGTGGCTGATGGCGTTGTCCTGAAGGTACAGCTTCTGCAGGTGCGCACTGGGCAGGCTGAGCGGCGGGGCGGCCAGGGAGTTGCGCACCAGCGACAGCTCGGTGAGGTTCTGCAGGCGGCTGAACGTGTCGTCGGCGATGCGCTGGTTGGCCAGCAGGTTGCCGTCGAGCACCAGGCGCCGGAGGCTGTGGAGGCCCTTGAAGGCGTGCAGCGGGATGGTGGAGATCCGGTTGTCGTCCAGCCGCAGCTCCTCCAGCGTGCGGGGCAGCCCCGAGGGTATGCTGCTCAGGTGGTTCCGGCTCAGGAACAGCAGCTTGAGCCGCTTGCTGTCGGCGAAGGCGTCCTCCTCGATGCTGACGGTGGACACGGAGTTGTCGTCCAGGTGCAGCTTCTCCAGCAGCGGGAGACGGGCCAGCGAGTCCCGGGCGATGGCGCGCACGTTGTTGTCCTGCAGGTGCAGCTCCCGCAGCGAGCGCGGCAGGTTGATGGGGAACTCGTCCAGGTCGTTCTCATACAGGTAGATGACCTGCACGCTGACCTTGGTCTTGAGGTCCTGGGGGATGCCGGCGTTGTTGATCTGGTTGTTCTGCAGGTAGAGGGTGGTGGCGTCGTCAGGGATGTCGGTGGGGATGGAGGTGAGGCCCCGGTCGTTGCAGTAGATGAAGCCGTTGTCACAGCGGCACACAGAGGGGCAGGTGGTGCTGTCGATGACCTCCGTCAGGAAGGCGATGAGCCCGTAGCAGAGGAAAAGCCAGTCCCGCAGGTCCATGGTGGCCGTGGTCATCACGACAGTGGCCGTGACGGTGGCAGCGGGTGTGGTGGTGGCGGTGGCGGTGGGTGGTGCCACCACCATGGTGGATGGCTGGAGGCGCCGGGCCCCGCCTGATCTGCCTCAACACCTGTAGGGAGCACAAGACACATACGGTGAGAGTGAGTCTCGGCGCCCACCCGCCTGCTGCCGCGGGGGTCGCCGCGGGACAGAGGTCAAGCCTCCAAGCGCTCATCCTGTGACCCCTCCTGGGCCAGCCTCACGTCCCGGGTGATCCCTCGGGCCGGGGTCAGACACTAATGACATCTGGCCAACGTGAAATCCCATCGGGGGCAAAGATGTCTGTGAATTACGTGGCCGCAGCCTCGGTCCACCCGGGCGGTGATGTCCAGCCGCGGGTGAGATTAATTTAGTGAGAGCCACTCCGCAGTGTCTGTTTCTTCTTTGGAGGCTTCACACTAAGCCGGTCTTTATGGCTAATGCTAAAAGTGGCTGGTCAATGTTGATGGGATGGATTTAAGGTGTGTTTTATGGATCTCGAGCCTGTATTTCTCACTGGAACGGAAACTCGCATCCCTGTCTGGCTCGTTCCCGGGGTCTGAGGGAAACGCTCGTTTCCGTGAGGCCCGTGAGCGCACAAGGAGGGGGTGTCAGTGGAATCCACAGAAAAGAGGCCGCCGGATCGCCACTGGTGAGCAGTGGAGAGCAAGGAGCTTCATTGTCTGGTTTTAAAACATGTCCTATTTGTCACCCACGGGTTTTACAGACAGAAGAACGAGGTGTCAGCGAGATCACTTTCTTGTGTATTTACGGGAAACCCTTTTTATCCGAGGTACCCTCCCTAGCTCTTCGTCCCGTGTTGTGTGGGAAATCAGTCCCCACCTTACCCCCTTCCCCAGTCACAAAACTTGCAGCTATTTGGAAAAGAAAAATTTTTTATCTGTTTTCTTGCATTTGAAGAAATGACAGAAATAAAAGGGGGGAGGGGTCCACGCCGAGGGAATCAGCAGCAAGGTATAATTTCGGTTTTCACAAATGGAAAAATTGCAGCCTAGATTTTTCTCCTATTGTTTCGCTGTTCATAGTGGTAAAAAATCAATTAAAGAGAAATGATCTTTCATTTCTCAGTTGGGGAGGTGTCTTCATGCGCCGGCAGAGGTCTGCCACATAACTCTAGGCTCATGAAGGCTTTTCAGTGGTGGGACGCAGTCATGGCCTCCTGCATCTGAGCCGAGGCCCCAGCCTGAATCCAGCCGAGCCCAGCGTTCAGAGCAGAATCAGGGCCTGGTCACCAAACGAGTCAGAGGGGACCTCACTCTCATGCCCTGGGGACTGAATGTCTCCATTTCTCAACCAGTGTCAAACCATCTCCCTTGTCTGTCCCTCTCTATCCCGGAACCGCTCCCCTCCATCTAGCAAACTGCTCTTCATATAACCCCACCTCCCCTAGGTCTCCCACCCACCCACCCATCCATCCATCCTCCTACTTGTCTGTCTAGCGGTCCAGAAGATCTTTATGGAGCACCCTGACACCTGGACATGCCCGCCTTCAGAGGACAGGGATATAAACCCAGGCCCCGGGGGGACCAACCAGCCAGGTCTCACCCAACCCCCTTTACAGATGCGTACTCAGGAGGGTTGTGGAGCCTGGATGTCCCATCTTAAGATGCTTAGGAGCAAAGACGCAGGGCTGGAGCAGGTACGGGGGACAGGAAGGCCTAAGCCTGCTCAAAGGCTACCTTGCCTCGCTCTCAGAGGTCAAGTCTGAGTCCCTCTGTCCAGGGCTCCAGCATCTGGCCAGAGGACACACACCTTCTTTGACCTGTCAGCTGCTGAGACCTGGCACATGGGATGTGGGTGGCCCCATCCCACCGGTGCCCTGAGCAGGGCGGGGCAGCCTTGCTAAGGCCAAAGCCAAGGCCGGCCACCACATTCTCTGGCACAGACATCAGTTCCCGCAGCCCGCTCAGCTCATGGCCACAGCCCTCAGCCTCCAGAAGCCCTGGCATCATAATAGAGTCTAAATTGCACCTTTCAGAGATGCCTGATGGATAACCAAGAAGCAGTTGGGAGGCAGGGACCCAAGGCCCTTCCCTTCCCCTGTCTACAGGCCTCATCCATCTTGGCTCGAGCCTGCCCTTGCCACCCCTTCCCCAAGGCTGCAGCGAGAGGCAGGGCCGGGGGTGGGGGGGGAAGAAGAGAGCGTGCCTTCCCAAAGCAGCCTTTAATGCCCCGTGCCAGGTGGCCTTTTTATTCCTTTGCTGTGTGTTTGACGGTTTATGTGGCCATCAAATTAAACCCAGTAGATCGCCCGTCTTCCACGGGGTCACTTGCTGGGCGGATTCCGCAGACTTCAGCCTGATGGGAGTTATGACCTGCCGGCACCATGATGGACAGCAGGATCCTTCCCTGGGGGCCAGGGAAGGGAGAAGGCAGGTGGCTCAGGCTGGATGGATCCAGACCCCCATTCACCAAGGGGGGACCCGGGCCATCATTCTTGGCGCTCTCCCTCAGTCACTAGCTCCTGCCATCTTCTAGGACAGAGAAACCTGCCTTCACCTCCAGGCTCCCGACAGGGGCTCTTCGCTGACTGCTGTGATGCTGGGTCCCCTCCACCTTCCCCTGTGCTTCTTCAGCCCCATGCCCCAGGCTACGGTGGAAACCCTGGTCCTACAGCTGGGCCCTCCTGTTGTGACCCTCGGATGCTCCAGCCTCTCTCTCCTGGGGGGCTGTCCAGGCCCAGGGAGGGGGTGTGAGTGGCCGGAGCCCACAGCTTAGCTCTCGCCTCGGTCCCCCTGGCACTCTGAGATGCAAAACCACACCCCCCCCCCCCCGTTCCTACAAGCCCTAACCTCCCTTGTGCTGCCCCTGGGCCTTTGCTCCGCGCTGTTCCTGATCCTCGGACACCAACACACCCTCCCCCGCTCCTGCCTTGCCAGCTTCTGCTCCTCCGGGACCTCAGCTTAGAGTCCCCTCTGGGAAGCTTTCCCTGACCTGCTGCAAAGCCGGCCCCATGCGGGCTTTGCTCACCACCGCTTCACTGGTGGGAGACGTTTATCTGCTCTCTGGATGGCAGTGCGTCCCTGTTGGAGACCCCCAGCCTGGTGTCTTCCCCACATCCCAAAAAGCTGCGGCTGCCAGAGGCCCAGGGACTTCTGGGGGCTCCCCTTGGGAGGTGGGAGGTTGGAGGGAGGGCAACATGCAGGGGGCGGCTGCAGGACGCGAGGCCCAGCATAGACCCCTGGCATGCTGGCTGGGAGCTGGTGCTGCTGCTGCTGCAGGCTCCCGGGGCACAGTGAGCCATGAGCACCCCACAGGGCCCGAACATGTTTCTGGAAGGAGCTGGAGGTCCCAGGCAGCAGAGGGAAGGTAGGGCAGGCAGTGAAGGCAGCTTGCATGGGGGTGCCCTGATGCTGGGTCCCCCGAAGTGCCGGGCACGGTCTCAGCCTCCCACTTTGGGAATCCGAGAATTCCAGGTGGTGCTCACCCCAAGAAGGAGGCACGTGAACTAGAAGCAGGGAGGGGACAACACAGCTAGGTCTGAATCCTGCCTCACCAGTCCCTGACCGTGTGACTGGCGGCGTCTCTGGGCCTCAGCTTCGTCATCCGTAGCATCCTGCTGGGAGGACACCCGCAGGGGGTTGTGCAAAGCGCCTAGCACAGGACCAAGTGGTTTTAGAAAGAAGGGCTGCTTCACCCTGTCCCGGGGAGGGACCCCGAGGTGCTCCTATGACCCTCTCCGGACAACTGCCCACCTGTCTTGGCAGGGCTCCCCAAACAGCTGAGCCAGGGAGCCCCTCGCCCTCTCCTTTCCTGTGCCCCCAATCCCAGGTCCTTCCCAGAAGAGCAGGGCCCGAGGCAGGGGCAGGGTATGTAGGGCAGGCTGGGGACAGAAGCAGTTCCTCAGCCCAGAGGGGGTAAGGCAGGAGACCCTGGCCCCAAAAGGAGCTTCACCAAGACAAGTTCATTCCACACCCATGATGACTCCTAAGTTAAACCTTTGTTTAAATTAATGAGGGGCCCCCGCTTTCTTCCCCACCAGCCAGCACTACCCCTCCGGCTTAACTCTAAGCAATACCATTGGAGGAGGGCCACAAGGTGAGGGGCTGGAAGAGCTCCCCACCCCACCTCTCCCCTCCCCCCCCCCCCCCTCCAGAAAGTCCCCCATCCCCACCCCTGTAAGGCCAGTAGCCCAGGGGGCCTGCCTGGGCTCAGTCCAGCATCTCCATCTACCTGAGGGGGGCCTTGGGTCTCAGGCGTTCCTCTGTAAGATGGGACTATTAGTGATCCACCTGTCCTGGGTCTTGGGAGGATAAGCGATGGCTGTTTTCAGGCCTGAGCAGAGGGACCGCAGAGTGCCCTGCACAACAGGGGACCATGCCTGTCTTAGCGGTAGGCAGCGCTCCCGGGCAGATCCAGATGGGAACTGCGAGCTGGAACTTCTGGAGAGCCGGCCTTTTCCAAGCCCTTGTTCAGGCCCAGGCCAGTCTAAGCCCATGCATCTAAGGCACCGCCTTCGGGCAGGGGGTCGTCTGCCATGACCCTCCAGGGCCTTGAGAGTTAAGGCCACGGTCAGAGAAGGTGACCGCGGGGGAGGAGGCCCTTTAGAGCCCCGGGACTGCCCCAGTTCTCATCCACAGGTGCCATTGAGAACTTGTAGAAAAAGGGGGAGCGGAGTGGGGTGGGGGCCAGGGGGTGGTGGTAGGGGATTCTTTTAAAACCTAAAGTTAATTATTTTTCTAATTTCATGCTGTATGCATTATGTATCAGCTGTTATCACTGGCGGTAATTGCAGACAGGTATGCAAATCCACTAAAAATGTACCTCGAGTTCACCTCGCCGCGTAGGCCCTCTGGGCGGTGCCAGGCAGCGGGATGTCCTGAACTTCAGAGAATGCAAATCCCTTTAAAAAAATAAAACTTTAAAACTGTGTCTTAGGAGGTTAATTATATTGATAACAGTGTTCGATATTAAACTATTCAGGGCCGAGAGGGGGTGGGGGGATGAAAGGAGACACGTGTAATTTTGTTCCTCCCTCTCTCCCCACATTATTTAATAAGATATCCCTATTCCTGATATTTCTG